ATAATGTCTATATGAAATGTATTCCAGCTAAACCCTTTAAGGAAAGGCAGGCAATGCAACATAACCGTCCTCAAGTAAAACTTTTTGTCTCATAATTCACCTAGCTCTCCACTACAGCTAATGAGTAAGCATTTCCCAAGGAGCTGTAAAAGAAGGAAATGGTGCTAAACTCCTTTTAAAATTATCCAGTCTAAACTAGTGCCACATGCAATAAATCAAATTGCCCTGAAAATCCTAGGTGAAAGGAAATGGGCTATGGCCCCATACCTATCAGTATTACAATGCAGAATGCAGCTGTTCTAGGAAAAAAACTAGGAATAACTTATTTCTGGCACAGTTCTGCTTCCTTACAAACTTGCTTCTGCCATACTGAATTCTCAGTCTAGCACAGATGTCGTTTTATCATCTATGTCCCACTGATGTCCCTCACCCTCTCAGTTTCTCACAGTCCCCTTCACATTTCTCACAAACCTGTAAGTTCTGTAAATCCCACCATCTCCTTCCTTCCCACAGTCGTTGCCCCATAACCATTCCTCCAATTTTTATACATCTAAACAAATTAATATTTTGCATTAGCCTCTTCGGCTTACATACATACTTTACTGTCTCCATCCAACATAGGTCCCTGTCTTAATTTGCCTATTGTCTTCAGATCTCTTCTTGAACACTTCTTATCTCCTAGCTGTCCAGCTTTCATCACTTTTTAAAATACTTACTTCACTCTGATCACCATCAGATGGGTTTCTCTCTCATCTATCCTTTCTTAACTTCTTTGATTCCCACATACTCTGAGTTTCTACATTGTTCAAAGAACATTAAGGTAGAAGAAATGAGAGGCTGGCTGTGAAAAAATGCAGAAGGACTTAATGAGACTGAGATATAATATATAATGAGACTGTGGATATAATAAATAAATCCATTAAAATATCACCTTGGTGCTCAGCAAGAGCCAAAAAAGCATGCAAACTGTAAGGAGTTAATAGGGAAGGAAGAGAGAAAAGGAAAAAGAAGGTCATTATGCTACAGGATAAATCCCTGCCGTACCTGCACCCTGAATACTGTGTGAGGATTTGGTCCATCATCTCAAATGTGACAAAGTAGAACTGGAAATGGTTTGGAGAAGAACAGTCAGGATATGCAGAGACATGGATCCTTATGAGGAACGAGTAACTCAGGCTGAAAAACAGAATGCTAAGGACGGGGAATAATGATAGAGGTGGGTAAAATCTTGTGTGGCATGTAGGTACTAACTAGAGATTATCTTGGCATCAAAGGAGGCTAGAGGGCAGAGGGTTCAGAACAGACGAAAAGGAGATGGCTTAGCTTTCAGGGCAGAGTAAGTTGTGGGAGTTCTTGCCACAAGAGATCATGGAGACTAGCAGGTACAAGGCTGTAATGGCTATAACTCAAAAATTACTAGGGACCTCCATAGAAGGAAAATCTACCCAGGACTATTAAATACAAAAATATCACATGTGGCTCAGGAAGTCCTTGAGTTGCAAATGATGAGAAGCTGGAAGATCATGCTGGGGAAATACCACGTATATCACTGCCCTTATATTCTTCCCTAGGTATTCAGTGTTGTTCTCTGGCAGAGACAGGATATTGAGCCAGTTGGACCTTTTGTCTGACCCCATATAGCCTTTGTGATGTTCCTGTGTTTGTATTCTTAACTGACTGCATGGATGCTCCTTACTTTCACCTTCCACTATAAAATGCCAAACCCCCCCTCCTGCCTACAGCAGCAAATTGAGGCTGAGCAAAAGTATCAGTCCAAGCGCATCTTTGCTGAAAAATCCTTCCTAGATAAATTTGGGTACTTACCTACTCTTTTAATCTAGTGTCAGACCAGTGTCATTGCTGAAGAGCCATTCACTCTGCAGCTCTGATCACCTGAAGCAATCTGTGCAGACCTCTTCCCTTTCACTGATTCCCTATCTCCTTCTAAATTCTCATCTTAAAACCTGACTTTGTAGCCTGCCTTCAACCTCTCCATTTCTGTCTCTCCTGGTTATTGGTCTTATGACTGAATGCTTTAATATTTTCACCATGCAAGGTCTTTATGTCACTGTTTCATGTAATTTATACCTGTGAGCTGGAGCCTTTCCCATTTCGCTTGCAAGCACAGGCCATACACTGAATAGAATCCAAAATGATCCCCACCCCCGTATTGCTTTGGGGGTTTGCCTTTATTAACAAGGATATAAGCAATAAGAAAATAAAGTTCAGCTATTTCTAAGGCTTCTCCCTCATGACTGCTCAGCCAGCATCTTAGATGGCCTCTCCCCAGCAAACCATTTTTATCTCCCTTTTACACAAGTGAACTAATAAGCCACCTACCTCAGTGAGTCAGCAGAACCCACTTAACCCTTTCCCAGAAGGGTCAAAACACGCTATCAGGATGGTTTGGCTCAGGCTTATTATAGAACCATATTCTGCCCCTCAGTCTTGAATAATTTATTTGTGCGGCAAACCTAGATTACTGTTTAAATCAAAATGCTACCCAAACAAAGGCTGTGCTGTACAGTGCGAAATGAAACCAATTACTACATCATAGAATGCTCATCTTTTACAGTGTAAGATGCCCCCTGCAGTACTGCAGAGGACAGACATTTCTGTTGAGAACAGCAGCCAGCCACAGGAAGCAGGAGAGAGATTTTTCAGAGGGAACCAGCCTTTGATAAAAAAGTAAGTTCAGTGCCAGAAGGTGTTGCACACTTTCACTTTGATCCATCAAAACTTAAGAGCTTTTCTAGACTGAAATTAAAGCAAGCTCCAAATGATCATATGCAGAGTTGTTTTTTGCAGAGCAACTTCACCAGGGATGAAGAAAAGAGGAAAATGACTATCCCAACACACATTGCAGAAATCCAAAATAAAATATCAGAATGTGGATCAAAGCCTGGAATTACACTAATTTAAAAAATACAACTCACAGAAGTATGCAGAAATAAGGAATACATTGTATTATATCGTAGTAGAAGTGCACTATAAGCCTTACAGCATCTCTGGGTGTCTGACACATTAACAAGACCATGTTCCCTGTGCACTTCAAAAATGTATTCTGAGTTTACTCAAAAAAAAAGAGAAAAAACCCCACACAAGTAAAATATGTTCTTTATCTTATTTTTCTACCCCTGTTATTGTTCAATCACCTGATTTTCAGAGTCCATTCACCTGACAATAAGTAGCTATCATTTACCATAGTCCTGGCTGCCAGAAAGAGCCATTTTTATCTTCAGAGAAGCAGGGATAATGTCTAATCAGTGAGTTATAGTTGAGAGAAATTATTCTAAGTTTAGGAAAATTGGCAGCTGCATTTTGTTATCAGTAACCATTATTTAGATAGCATTGCTGATGTGTGTGGCGTCATACAGACAAGGACAAAGACCAGGCCCTTGCCCTGTGGAGCTTATTGTCTGTATTACATGATTAAAATAGGGAGAGGTACTAGCATAATAGTAACAGTGAGCTCTAAGCATTGCAGTGGGAGGGAAAAGAGATGACAAGAAAAAGAAAGACAAAACTTCCTGTGAGAGAGCAATACTGCATCATCCCTCCATTGTCGTTTTATACTCAGCTCTGACAGAGGGTTTTGTTGTTTCAAAATACAGCCTGTACAGAAGAGGGAACAGATAATTACAGTGTAGAAATCAGAAGAAACTAGCCTAGGTGTTTATAAGAGAGAAGTGGAGGATGTTGACTGGTGACAAAGAGTTGGGTACTTTGATGTGTCAAAGACACAGTGTCATACGAACCACACAAGTGATGCTGTGGCAAGCCTGGCAGGTCATGTCACACAAGCTCAGGAGGCTCTGCAGGGCATGGAAAGACCAGAGGCACTCAACTTAGTGTACTCAGTTAACATGGAGACTGTGCTCCTTCCACTCACTCTGAAAAGTGGGCTCTGTATCTCATTATACAAACAACACATTAACTGTTACATGCCATCTAAACCTACCATCTCCTGAAAATGAGCTTCCAAGTACTACATTCAACAGACATACAATTTATCTTTGGGCGCATGGTGCCTTATACCAACACTTTAGTTATACATAATTTTATTATGAGGTCAGTTTGTGTATCACTCGTTTCTTTTAAGGCAATCATGTTGAAAATTAATACATGACAATCTTACTAGAGACATAAAAGCACAGACTTAGCTGAGCTGCATACATAAAACAAACTGAAGTCAGTACTTCAGAAACCCAGCCCAACCTAACACACCTAACCCGAACTCTGTCTCTTTAACTACATCAGAACATGAGTTTTAGATGGCTGTTAATACTACTGCATTTTTCCTTTGTTGACCCAAAGCAGGAAACAACCATACAGAGCAGAGATTACTCCATCTAATAGAAAACAATGGTACCACAGGAATACATTCACTACTGCACTGAACTTCTAAAAAGAAGGAGGCATCTTCTTTTTTCTATTGCTTCAGCTACTTAGTGAAGTAAAACAGTACATGTATGCCCCTGAACTGTCTTACTTCTGTAGACATAAGACTGGCGCAGAAAATGGAGCCTACCTGGCGATATCTTCTCAGTGGTATAAAGTAAAAAACTGATTAAGAGAGGAACATTCTTCAAGTTCCTAGAAAAGGCTGTTGGCTTCTTCCATTTATGATCAAAAAGATCCTAGGAAAAATATGTCCAGTCTTTAACAAGACTAGGAAATTGAAATAACCAAAATGGGATGTGATTGGTCTTTTGAATTGAGGTGCCACCATTACTTGCTTTTGCTGCTGAAACATTGTCTGGCTCCTAATAGCTTCTAACATCGTGCTCCTACCTACATTGATCATTTAATACTAGCATCTTCTTTCTGACAAACCACAAACACTTCCAAAACTTGACCTCTTCCCTTTATCGCTTTTGATTAAGAAGAGAACTATCTGCAGGAAATGCCCTACAAACCACAAAGGATTATCAGAAATATAATGATGAGTGATTCAGGGACTCTGTGGCTCTGCTTGTGTTCCTGTAATCTGATCTTGGTCACTCTTCCCGTCTCCGCCGGAGCTTTGCTGTAGTTTCTTCTAGTCGGCTTCTCCAAGCAGCGATAATGGCATCATCATCCATCTCTTCTTCCTCTTCCTTACGCATGCTTCGCCTGTACTGAGAGAAGTGTCTAGATGCAAATCTTTCTTCACTTTGTTCCACTTTTGCCTCCTTCTTGCCATCCTCTTCAGACTTTGAAAAGCTCTGGGTGAACTTTCTCTTAGCTCCAAATTCTGACGTGTCTGACCTGGCCTCCTCTTCACACGCCTCCACATGATGAGATCTAACTCGACTCTGTGTAGATGGTTCAGGGGATTCAGAGTCAAAGGATGGTTCAGGTGTTCGTCTGAAAACATGCTGCTCTGGACTCTTTTCTCTGGAACTTGTTGTCTCACTGACCCTTGACCTTGTGAACTTATACATCTTTTTGTCCTCTGTTGCAGAAGCAGAGGAAAATCTTGACATGGTTCTCAGGGAATCTCCATTTGACTCATAGGAAGAACAGCTGTCTAGCTCTTCTCTTTGGGATCTGGAGAATCTGTAACTGGATGTTTCAGAATCCATCTCTCTAACTTTGGATGATCTGCTATATTTCTCTCTAGCCTTCTCACTTTGATCATAATATGATGGTGGTTCTCTTTCTGCTTTCAGGCCACTGAGCCACTTGGTAATATCAGTCTCTATCTCTGACTTCAGTGCACCCGTGTTTGCAGGTTGACTGGACAGATCAAAGACTGCATCAGTTCTGTCAAGATCTGCTTGCAAGAGGCGCCTGTGGCTGTTTGTTGTACTCTCTCTATCATCTTCTGTTTCATTTTCCTCTCCTTTGGTAATCTTCTTTTTAAATAAAGTGCTGCGTTTATTGTCTGAGATCACCTTTTCAATTTGATAATCTGACATTTTCTCTCTCATTTCCATTTGCATCTCCTTCTCCTTCCTCCTGAGTTTCTTCAGGTCAACATCATCAGCAAAGAGGCTGTAGAGCGGCTTGCTTGTCTGTGTTGTCTTCATGTTTGAACTAGTCCCTTCAGTCCTTGCACTCACTGAGGTATTGCAAGACAGGACAGATAGAGATTCAGCCCTGTGCATGTCCTGCTGGCGAAGCTGAGAGGTAGCAAGAGATAAGCCACTCTGAGCACTGAGAAGAGAAACCTTATCATCATCTACACGCCTGCCAAGGTCACCTGACATTACGCTGGAGGCCATTGCAGACGATGGGTGGGACAGCATCATAATCTCATTTTGCTTTTGAGCAATAGTTTCACTGACAACATTAGCGATCCAGTTCTGAATGCTTGCCATGGATATTGTGTCACCTGGGCCAACTGGGAGATTGGGAGGGGGTATACGTGGCATCTGAGGCTGCATTGCCCCTGTGCTGCTCCTGGTCTGTGATAAAGATGAATGATTTGTCTGCATGCTCAGTGCAGAAGCTGCATCCTCAGCACCGCTTGCAGAAGGTGCTGAGGGACAGAAAGCTGACAGTGGGATACTCCCACTCATCATACTGTCTGTCTCCCAGCTGCACATGGACTGGCTTTCTTCTAAAATTTTCTTTGAACGTTCAAGGAGCTCTACACGCCTCTGCTTCTTTTTGGCTGTAGCAGAATCCTCACTTTTGGCAAACTCCACAAATTCCTCCTTGCTTTCACTGCCCACCTTCTTCTGCCGCTTCATTTTCCAAGCCTGGTAAGCAGTCAGGTTGACATCTGACAAACTCTTCGCTTCTGTCCCCTCCCTGTCTGCCTGGCTTCCATCTTCTGCTGGAGATGGTGCAGAAGATGATGATGATTCTAAATCCTTCTTGTGAAAGCCAAACTGTATCCTCTTGACCTTCCACCTTTCTAGAGGAGTCAACTTGTCTTTGTTCTTTTGGCAGAAATTGTAAAAGGAGCTACTGTCTGAAAACACGCTCTCCTCATCCACATCCCTCTCCTTTCTTCCTGTTTCTGGAGATTGTCTCTCCCCAACAATTTTCTTCTTAAAACGATACCTCTGAGCAGCTTCCTTCTCAATCTCCAGAAGCCTCTGGTTCCACATGTCCCAGGTGCTCTCTGAAGACATAGAGCCTGTGCGGCTCCTCCTCATCCTGCTAAAGCTACTGGCTTCCAGCTGTTGTTTTAGGGTTCGGATCTCAAAACTGCTCACACTCTCAACATCACTGAATTCACCTGATGGGTAAGGTCTTCCTCCCATGCTGCAATCTCCATCCTCCTCCCTGGGTGGACCTTCCATTTGGTATTTCTCATTTCTGCGCTGCCAGTCATGGATCCTCTCTTCCACATTCTCCTCAGATTGTTCCCCTTCCTGATCCAGAAGCTTTGGAGATGTTCTTTCATGGTTAACTCCTGGTTCCTTTGCTGGCAGGCCTTGTTTCTTCCTCCATTCCTCATACAACTGTTCTTCTTCCTCCTCACTGATGAGGGTGGAGTGTTTGGAAACCCAGCTAGTTTTTCTCACCGATGAAGAGCTCATAAAACTACCCAGCAGGCTGCTGGTGTCCTCCTCTTCTACTGTGATGGAGTGGGCTTTGGCTCCCATGATGCTTTCTGAGTCCCCAACTCCAGACAGACGGGAAGAGGTCCCTGCATGGACAACAGGACTTTGACTAGGAGTGACTTCTTCATCTCCAGTACGCTCCGACTCTCGTTCCTCCAACAACTGCTCGTTGAGCTCCCTTAGCTGTTTCAGAAAGCCATCATTGGGGTAAATGGCACGCTTCTGTCTCAGAGTCATCAGAGCCTCCAGAATGGTCATATGGTGGTAGATCATCAGGTAAGCAGCCACCAGCACAGCTGAGCGACTGATTCCCATTTCACTGCTGACAAGGATTTTGCCTGCAGATATTGAATATAAAAGTAATTAGCTATTTCCAATAACATAGAGAGTTGCTCTGATATGTAGCACAAAAGCATTCTCTGAAAAGTGTTAAAAATTAGACAGATTGTATGCTTCAGTGACTGAAACCAATACGAAATATTTTTTAGCTTTGTCATAATAAAAATCTAGATATATATGAATAAAAACCACATTAGTTTCAAAAGCTGTTGGCAGGCACATTTTGAAACAATCTAAATAATATCTGTATTTTCACCTATACACTTCACTCCCCTGAATAATCAAAAAGCTTATAATAGGTATTAGAAAGACAAGAGATACAGTGTTCTTGACTTGCTGGCTGACCTCGGGTAAGACATTTAAGCTTTCCATGCTTCAGTTTCCCCATATGTAAAAAGGGAGATATCAGCCTCCAGGAAGGTATTGGGAGGATAAGCAAATAACTTATTTTTTAATAAGACACCTTAGAGGACTTAAATACAATTTTATATTAATTTAATTATATTTTTGCCAGAATCCAGAACTGTTGTTTTGTAAGGTGCACTTAAACAGTTACTAGTAGACTGGTTGCAGGCTAGAGTCACCTCAGAACAGGAGAACCAAGCAACTAGCAGAAGAGAGATGATTTTGACTTTTAACAAACTGATAAAGCTGCTCCAAACTACTGGTACCCACTGTTCAGTAAATAGTGACTGCAAGAGCTAGAGTCAAAGCTGAGGGTCTGCTTATTTCATGGCATTTACACAGAAACCACCTCTTCCAGAAAACTAAGCTTTGGCACAGAAGAATTTTTTTTTAAAGTTACTTTTATAGAAAATTACAGTTAAAGAAAAGCTTGTAAATATGAAGAGAGCTTAAATGAGGCTCTGCTAGTCTGCAAGTAACTGAAATTACTGTTCCTAAATGTGTGATAAACTCCAGTTTAATCAAACTGTTTGCACTGAAACTTAATGAAGCCCGTTTAAACACCACCTTTCTGACTGTCGATATGTTACTGCAAGTATTTACCTATTGTACCTATTCCTACAATCCTGAAATGTCTTTTACACCTTTCTTAGTATTAGAAATCTCCGTTGCCATCCAAGTGTTTTAACAGCCAGTAAAGGCTAACAGCTCACCAAAGGGTGCAGATCTCATTCCTCTGCTTTCTTTCAAGGCTCCTCTGTGTCCCTGCTTCCTTTCTTGTGTTGACCGACCCTGGTGCTCACCTTTAATGAGCCAGTTCAGCTCACTAACCCCATGGAAAACCATATTTTCCCTGTTGGGCTGTTGTTTTTGCTGGTTTAGCGAGTTGAAGGGCCGATGAATGCCAGCAGCAGTAAGCATTTGTGCTGTGCCAAGGGTAGCAATGGGAGTTATGAGGAAGAATATAGATGGGTAGAGTGTCCCTCCTTGTGGTGTTGGTGGTGAGCTACTAAAATTGGCTCAGCTTCTCTCGCGTACTAACAAAACTTCTAACTTTTCTTACTGTCACTTCTACTAGGAGGTAAACTGTTGTCTCTGTACAAAAATTAAAAGCATTGAATACATATATGAAGAATATCAGTGATATCACTGATTGTGGTGATCATTTTCATATTGAATTCCATAAAGATATTTCTAACTGTCCACTGAAGCCCCAACAAAATGACCAGTATGCGCTGGAGGCCCACTGAATAACACTTGCCATGGAGCTGGAGTCCAGCAGATTATACAGTAGCTTGGGTGCAGACATCCAGGGGTTCAACCCAGCTGTTTGGATTGTTCTAGTAAATCAGCCTTTTGTAGTAAGCATCCTGGCAAAACTGAAACTTGCAGTGTACAGGAATATATCAATATATATTGTGTTATAGAATATAAATATAAAAAATATATTTATTGGAGCAGGGCTTCACCTCATTGCAATAGGAGGGTTCTTTCAAAGCACATGAGGGAGGTTGCTCACAGCCAGTTTGAGTCCAAAGACATCAGGCTTCCAGCAGGGGCTGCCAGGCTGCCTCCTCTCACTAGTTTGCCCTCTCCTGTTTTGTATGAGGCATGGCAGAAATGGGCAAGAAGTGTTCACCGCAACTGGATGCAAAGAACAAAGTATCTGCCTTCTACCCAATTACAAATGTGGCATTGGCTGTTTATCAAAGTAATGTTTCCACCCATTAATTCCCAAGCATTCTGGAACCCCTGTAATCTTTTCCTCTTACCCCTGTAAGTCAACAGTGCTTCGTCAAGGAACTCTGCAGCTGGACGGAAGTGTTTGGAGATATCCATATCTGGAAAATCATCCACTTCAATGCCCAGGTATTGGATATTCAGACCGTTGTAGAAATCTGGTCCTGTGTATACACCTGTACCATGAGCTGCATTCAAGATATGCGTGATCCCCAGTCTCTTCAAACGGCTTTTGTTCACTGCAACACTTCTTCAGAAAAGAAAAAAAAAAAAAGATGTTAGATATCAGTGCTCCTATTTCAGGTAGGAAAGAAGCTGAATGCTACAAGGTCTACAGAGCTCCCAGTCTGTGTTACTTATCCAATACGTGGCTCCACTCAGACCTTAATGTCCTTTGAGAGTTCTACACGTATTTCTCTCCAGTACTCACTGCCAAAAGAAAATGAGGAACCTGCACTCAGCAGTACAGCTGCATGTTCAGTTTCCACTCCAGCCTGATTTTAAACTCATCTTGCCATCCTAGGTTCAGGCTGTTTACTTATTTCTCAATTTTTATCACTCTGTAATTGAGGCTTTACACTAGATCCCCTTCTAATTCTGTCTGGTCACTTGCACAGGGGTCTCAGACAAGCTGAGCCATGATACAGAAGACCTAATCATTTCCCCTGATACATGCTACAGCATTTCTTAACTTTCTTTTACATAACAAAGACTTTAGGCCCAATTTCAGGCCCAAATTCCAATCAGAACAGTGTAATTTGGGCTCATTTGCCTTTTCTTCTACTAAATTGTCAAAGAATTAAAATAGCATAGGAAAGCTGCTGATTCTATTCCAGAAGTATTTACTTTTCAGCACACAGAGATCTTTGTGAGCATATTCTGAAAAACACTTTGGGGGTCTCTGGGGATGAAAGGTATTAGATGCATGTAATACATGTTATGGCTTCAATGGTTCCATCTGACCCTTCACTGGGAATCTTGGGCAACTTGATGACAAAAGCTGACACTCACTTTTCTGCTATGAAGACATTAGGCCAGACTTCATCCACAGCATCCCTGGGGGTCTCCAGCCTGTCCTTTACAAGTGCCCTCTGCAAGTCCATCACACACGGCGTGTTAAACAAGCTGGTGTCATCAATCTTTTCCTTAACTCGGTTGTACAGGTCTTCCACCATCAACTGCTGTGCAGACTCTAACATTCCTGGACACACTGAATCTACCCTGGCGTCCTTTGTCTTCAGTTCTGGAATAAACTGACATTGTAACTAAAAGCATATAAAACCAAAGCAAATATATGACCTGTCATTCTTTGTTCCTGGGACAAGCCTTGTGACTTTCTTTTGTTCCCAGTAACATCACACTCTCCTGTGTGCAATGTGTGCATGCACATGCTTATCTAGTAGTCTCAGGGTAGTTAGCAATGGGAAGAAGATACTGCACTGTCCTCAGTCCAGCGACCCACCCTGGCCAAAGGCCTGGGAGTTAAAGGCACACTCATTCTAGCCCCAGAAGAATGCAGTTGCTCTCTACAGCTTCCTGAGGAGGGGAAGTGGAGAGGGAGGTGCTGATCTCTTCTCCCTGGTATCCAGTGACAGGACATGTGGGAATGGTTCAAAGCTGCGCCAGGGGACTGGAAAATAGAAGCATGTCTTTACCGAAGGGTGGTCAAACACTGGAAAAGGCTTCCTGGAGAGGTGGTTGATGCCCCATCCCTTCCAGTGTTTAAGAGGTATTTGGACAACACCCTTAATAATTTGCTTAAACTTTTGGTTAGCCCTGAAGTGGTCAGGCAGTTGGACTAGATGACCATTGTAGGTCCCTTCCAACTGAAACTTTCTATTCTATTCTATTCTATTCTATTCTATTCTATTCTATTCGTTTCTTGCAGTGAGCAACCAGAAATCAAACTGTATTCACCACTGCAGTACATGATGCTAACACGGATTCATTACACAGCTTCAAAGGAAGTCAGCAAACCTTTCGGTAAATTGTTATTTCTTTATGGTTTTCACCTCTACCTCAGATGGGTTTTCTCATAAAGGCTTTTTTTTGTCGTTTTAGGATCTCTGGATGAGAAAGGCAAAACAAGCGCAACTCAAGTCCCTATTACTCATATAGTTCTTTTACCAGTCCACCTCTTACCTTCTTTGATTATTTGTTTGGCAGCCACAGCAGATGACAGATGGATTGGCTCCATGAAGATACTCTCTGTATCAGTGTCCGATATCACTGAATACCTGCCAACCAACCATACCACCTATTAGGCAAATGCCCTCCACGAGATCACATCTTCAGGACTTGAGCCCTTCTCACCCATTCCAGAAGAGAGCAGCAGGGAACTGGAGCAGTGAGGAGCCTTTGATGGTAGAAGAGAAGCCCCAGCTCCTCTCCCACCCCTCACTCCCACCCTGCTCTCCAGCATGGTGCTACAGGCTTCAAATATGCCTTGGTATCCAGTGTTTGCAGGATGTAGACAGGTCCCATGGGGAGGAGCTGCAGTGAACTGGGAGTGGAAGAGAATTAACTGGTGGAGAAGTTTTTGGGTAGAGAAAATCGGTGTCTGGCTTGAGACTGAGAGGGGGATGGACTGCAAGGAATAGTTTCACAGGTAGCTCTCACTTAGACATAAACAGACATAAACTAAGTAGAATTTGTTGAACAACTGAAAGCAGATTATACCAGAAAACAGTAGGGTTTGTTTTTTTTTCTGTTAGCTAATTGCCTGCAACCATCCTTTGAGTTATCACAAGCTGCAATGCAAACATTAAGTTTGAAGCCTGTGAAATTCCCCCTCACTACTCAGTACATTGGTCACTTCATAGCATGAATCTGTGGCCAGTCTCTCCAGTCACATCATGTTTAACTGCAGGTGAGAAATAAGCCATGAAACCCACAAATACCTTTGAAGGGAGTTCTTTGACACACAGCATGATTTACATAATTTAAACAAAAAGGGACACAATCTTGAAAAGAAATATATTTCCATGTGAGTTCACCTCTACGGTCCAAGCAAATCTTCTCTTCTTATTTAGACCATCCTAACAAAATATTTTACAGAGAATGTGCCCAGCTTTTTCCTTGATGCATACCCTCTACATTTCCTTCTAAACAGATGGTACAGATCATCAGGACAAGATTGCTGCCGTCACCAAAGCTATCTGGCAATGCAGGCTTGAGGTACTTGCAACACACTGTTTATTTGTGTTTAATTAAAGCAGGAGAGGGAGGGTGATCACTGTGCAGTCAGGGCACAGCAAAGTGTCTGGAGAGCTAAACTGCTTTCATTCTCCAGAATCAAAATGGAGGGCACAGCCATCAGAATCTGCTTAATGGGCTCTTCTAGGTCATTTAGTTGGGTTCCAGCACTTGTCAACCGTGACTAAAAGTAATCCTTTTCCAGCTCTTCAAGGGAGTTTATGAGATGAGCAAGGGGAGCCTCCATCTCATTTACAGGAGATGACACAAATTTGCAGCTATGCCCTGCCTTCAATTCCTTTTGCTATAAAGGTTGCCTCCAAGCTCAATAAAAAGATAACAGTTGGTGATAATCCACGACCACAGCCTCAACCCATTTTACCTGTAGCTGCCCCAAGCATGCGTGAAATGCAGGTGCAGACCTGCCCAAGCCTGGATGCTGCAAGAGCCTCCCTGTGTTTAGAAAGGACCTTGCCATTTTCATCACTGCTTTTGGCATTGACAGCAAGAAAAAAAGGAGGGGGGGGGGAAAAAAAGGAAGAAGAAAAAGGAAGGGAAGGGAATAAAGTGGAGAAGTGCTTCTGTTCATTTTGAGTGTCTGATGTGCAGTAGGAGAGTGATTTACCAAGTTCAATACATAATTTTATGTTATATATATGAGCTCAGTGAACTTTCTAAACAATTTTTAAATGCATGTAGTTAAAAGAAACGAAACAAGCACTCCGACTTTCATTTTTCTGCAGTGCCCCACAGTTAATGGGAAACATTGCATAACCTCCTACTTGTTGAGAGCCACTGGGGCAGGTTCTTTTCAAACTTAAACCCTACTCCCTGCCTTCAGCTAAAGCATCTTGAAGTGTACAGAAAGCCCCTCAGAGCATGTTGCTTTAGGAAAGCATATAAAGGGATGTATTTTTCCTTGTGTTAGGAGAAAACCCATCTAATCATGCTTGTTTTCCTTGAGGTAACTCAATTTCTGACAGCCTCCTGTTCAGTGCCTGAAGCCTGTAGCTAAAGATGGCTCTGAAACAAACCCAAATCCAAAGACCCTCAGTCCTTCTGGGGATGGGAAAGGCTAGTATCAATAAAATCCACAGGTCCTTATAATGGCCAGAAAGATGGGGATGAAATTGGGAAGAGGTGAAATCTGGATCAGAAGTTTCAGCGTGGGGGTGGATGTGAGAGGATGAGGTCGGGAAGTGCAACGACACCACCCCTTAGTAACACTTTCTGCAATTAATCCCCCCCCATGTGCGTATACACTCTCAGCAGGGTGGATTCATTAAAGCCTGAGTCCTGCCTCTGCGGTCTCCCTGCTGGCACACTAACCCCCGCCTCAGGGAGGGGAGGGAAGCCCTGGGCTTCATGCTTCATCCAGGTGCCTGGGCAGAGAGGAGGCAGTGGAAGGGGAGGGAAGGCAAGCTGATCTACCACATGCCACCGGGAGACCATGGCGGTGGCGGGACCGTTGGGGGGCCCTGCCACAAGCATACTCACCTGCTGGGTGAGGGGCTGCGGAGATAGTGGGCCTGCACGGCTTTCACATCTGGTCCCTCATCCTCCTCATCGGGCACCACCTGCTCACTGTCCAAATCTCTTCTGCTGGCCATGGCAGCTGCAGGAGGATCCACTACAAGGGGAGCACAGCAGGAGGGAGGGCCGTTACAGAGGTCTGCGCAGGAAGCCATCCCCTGGTCATGGGGCAGTGGTGGCAGCGGGGGTACTGCAGAAGAGGCTCCCACATCTTGCTCTCACAACCCTGCGAGCAGTACTTGCTGCCCACCAGCCGCACTGGCCCCTCTGCCAGGGTGCCTGCCGTTCCCG